TCTGTATTTTATCAGGTGAGTCCTGCAACCGTTCAAGAGGGAGAACAAAATGGAATGATGGGAAGAGTAGATGAAGGTGTTGATGAATTTTTCAGCAAGAAAGTGACAAAAATGGATTCAAAGTAAGTTATCTATATATTCCTAATTTAAATGCACCTAGAAGTTGATGTACAGTATTAAAGAGAATTTTATGCGTATTTGTTTTTAATTTATTTGTTTTAATTAGAAAATTTAATTTAATTAGAAAATTACTGCTAGTGGTAAAGTAATGCAGATAATTCTTGTTTAGCAACTTAGTTGTTAAACAAAGTGGTTGCTAAGTGAAACTGTGACTGTACTTACAATTTTACTTCAGCTTCCTTTGCTTTACAGACCTGAAGGTCATAAATGTGAGGATTGGTTGTAAAGTTATTTTTTCACTACTTTTGTAAATATGAACAGTCGCTGTATGAGTTGCTAAAGAAGGATTACGTGTAGATGGTGGTTGATATAATTGCTAATGTTTAAAAATTAGTAATATCAGTTAAGATCAATTTTTAAAACCAATTTCTCTATCCATAATTTTGGAATTTTTCAGTACTTCCTTCTGTAAACCATTTTTCTTCAATAATATTTAATTTTGGCTATGGTAGTCTACATAAAGTTACCATGATCTGATAAGTATCATCTGTTTGATTCAATAACATAATGTAATAAAGTTAAAGAGATTGAAGGATAAGGAGAGAAATATTGAGAAACTGCAAGCTAAGAAATAAACGTGCCAAACAGCACTGAACTAATGCAAATATTAGTGTGTGAGGGGAAAGAATGTTATTTGTTCAGCTGCATTCAGTGTATTCTTTTTGCCGCTGTGTGTTGTGACATGACATGACATTACATTATTTTTTGTATGAAACTGAATATGATTTTGCTTGGTTATATGATTTTCCTAATTAAGTATGAATTGTACATACATTTTACTCTCCTGACCATATAATTTGCATTTTCATTTATAATCTGTATGTGTAAGGAATTGAATTCATGCAAGATACAGAAGCAAGAAGTAACCTAAAGAATATAACAACTGAACTAAATTGTAGTTATTTCAGAGGCCATTTTATGTGTTTGACATTCACTTATAAATAAACCCCCACTGGTGCTGAAAAAATAGGATGTCTTAGTAACTAAGCAAGTCTGAATAGCCATTAAATTACAAATGGCAAAAATCAAGAAAGTTAAGTGCAGAAGCAATGTGCTATATGGCAAATTGCTAGTGATACAAAAAACCTGCAAAATTATAAATAGTAAGTTGTTAATGTCACTTTTGATCTAATCAAAACATTTTCTGACTTGTTATTTTTAAAAAATGTTTAGGGCAAGACATGCTATAAAGTCAATTACAAAATTAGATTTTAGCCAATAGTCATTGGATTTCATTGCATCCTAAATTTCTTTTTAAATACTTTAACATTTAAATAAAAAACACCAATTCATACCAAGAAATAATGACAAAGAAATATTAGGATTCATTCTCATCTCTCATTCACTGCACCACAAAAAAGACTCGGTAATTTTTTAACGAGTGTGTCTTTTGCTCCAGAAGCAGACTAAAGTCATATTTAGCTCTCCCAGTGTGATGCTTTTTTTCTTCTCCAAACACAAAATTTACCATGTGGATAATCGAAAGCAGGGGTGTCAAACTCACATTGTCACAGTGACGTCACAGGACGTATCAGGACTTTTTCCCCCTTTGCTAAAGTGGTCGTGGATGTGGCCAGCTGGGAGTTTGACAGCCCTGATCTAAAGCATCTCAGTGACAATATTGTGATGCTGTGGCCAAGGTTAGGAATTTGCTGGGTGGGGGTCATTGCTACTTTGCTGCTGTTTTTAGGGTATGGCTGGTTGGTTGATAGCTGGGAGGGTGGAGATGTTGGGGAAATTATAAAATAAGGAAAGTACATAAGACACTTATGTACAGATNCAAAGTATAAAACAGGTAAAAATTAAAATATCTAAAGAGCCAAAAAGAAAAACAATTCCTACAATATTTTTAGAACCAAGAGATTTACAATAGAAGTTGACTTATTTAACTATATACTGCCTTTATTTTTTAATAAATAACTGAAGGTGGTATAGCTTATACTTCTTTCTCCTCCTATTTTCCTCACAACAATCCTGTTAGATGAGTTGGGTTGAGAGAGTGGCTGGTCCAAAGTCACCCAGCTGGCTTTCATACCTAAGGCAGGACTAGAATTCTCAGGTTCCTGATTTCTAGCCTGTTGCCCTAACCTAGGCATGTTTCAAGAATCTTCATATTCTTTGTAAATAATTATTCTCATTACTGTACAGTACATTTTTGTGATTAAAATTTGAATTCAGGGACTGATATAAGAATATTTCTTATAAATTACATGTTTGCTGCTATCTATCTAAGGTTGTTTTATTTTAGATTTCTATTGACTCATTTTGAATGCTTACAATAAGAAATATTGTTATATTTTTAGAATGAAATGAAATTTGCAAACATTGCAATACCATTAATAGGGTCATTTAGAAAGTTTCAGAGGAACAGATTTAGAGTCATTTGGTTTAAAATGATATTTAAAGGTTTGAAGGTTCTAGAAAGGATATCTTATCCCTCTTACATTTTTTTTCTGACAAATATTATATAAATGATTTAGTCCCTGTTTCAAAAATTAAATTAAAAAAAAACCTAAATGAAGCAAATTTATGTATGAAATTTTTTCTCATTGGAGACATGACAAAAAGAGTAATTGATGTGTTCCTGCTTCTACCTTGCATTTTCCCCATAATGTATATGAACATAATATAATTCTAGACTAATTCCCAGGGAGGTTGAAAAATAATTTAGAGTTTCTTTATTTTCTGCTCAAGATCATTAAAAGTATGTGAAACTTTTATATTGCCCTTTAGCAAAAGGCTGACTTGACCAGACAAGCACTCAACATCCTTTTACATTCCTGAATGTGTCTGAATGGTAGATACAACATAGGTGAATAAAAACTCCTGGAGTTGTGTGATTTGAGAGCCTCATCTTGACAATTACCACATGCATTCATGCCATTAAAAATTAAGATTTTCAAAAAATTTGCGAAGAGCTGTGAAATTCTACATGAAAAATCTTTAAATTCCCCTGCAAGTACTATGAAATCCTATAGGAAAGATCTTCATTTAACCTTTCCAGTTCTGTTCACCTGTGCAGTTCAATTCATACACTCTTCAAAGAATTAATCTGGATGGAGATTTTTAGATAGAGCAGGGGTCTCCAACCTAAGCAACTTTAAGTCTGGAGGACTTCAATTCCCAAAATTCCCATCCAGCTGGCTGGGGAGTTGAAATCCTCCAGGCTTATAGTTGCCAAGGTTGGAGACCCCTGATATAGAATACATCTGATGTAGAGCTATTGCTGTGTTTGTTTGTTTTTTTCTTAATGCAAAAAGTTTGTCTCTCATTTTTGCATAGTTCCGCTTTTATATTTTTTATTTGCCAAGTTTCGGCACGGCTTGCCCCCCCTCCTTCTCTCCTCTAAAGCTGATTCCGCTTTTTCTGCTGTCCATTCATATTCTTTTATCTTTCTCTTTTGGCTGCATGGAGACTCTCTGCTGTACAAGTGTAAGTATTTTTTTTTAAGTTCTGCTGTTTCTAGCTTACTTTCCTTTCTTGCTCCATTTGTTTTTCAGCTGTCTTACAAAACTCTTGGGAACATACACTGTGCCATTACAGGGAGAAATAAGCAGCTATTTGGAACCAAGTTCAATTTTACAGGAAGTTTTAGCTAGCTTGATGTGCAGTGAATTTAAAACATACTTCACAAGCCAGAAATCTACAACCGGGCAAAATAATTCACATAAAACGGTTTAACACAGATTAAATTTTATTAATATTCATATCCGTTTAATGAAATGAAAGTTTTAAAGAATCAAAGTATTATTTTTTTTCACTGTATGGTCATGAACTTCCAATTACATAGGGTTTTTTTTGTGCTTGGCATGCTATATTTGCTCTTTGGAAAAGAGGAAAGAAAAACTGATTGCATCTGACCAGAATGAAAATCCATTCAGCAAGTTTGAAAGGCTCCTGGGCACAAGAGGCAGCAGAAACAGAGAGTGTACTGTATTTAAGTGTTTTGCAGTAACTTCAGCTCTAATTATGCTAAGCAGTGGAATATAAGATGTTCCTTAAAAACAAAACCGACACTCTGTGTTTTAAAATATAAATTACAGTTTGTTTAGAACAGAGAAATACTTATTTTGATAAATATAATTTTATTTAGAAATAGAACATTGCTTGGAAAAGGAAGATCTTGCTTCTTTTTTCACTGAAATAGCCATGATAGCTGAAAACTTTTGTTTTCAGTGTTTGTCAGTTTTGCATTTGTTCCTCATGTATTGTTTTACTTTTTCTCCTTATAAAACTTTTGATGTTAATTCACTTTAACATATTTTAGTTTGATGTAGTAATTATAAAGTGTAAAGTCATAACTGTTTGCCTATTTTTTTTATTTAAAAATTCATAGAAACTGGCACTGTTCTTCAGAATATTATTTTATAAAATATGTGTGCATGTATTATATGACACACATTTTAATAGAATCTGATTTATTTTACAGTATAACTTTGTTCCAGTTGTATTCCAGAAAATGTTAATAAGATTGGTTTATTTAAAAATGTGTGCTAATAAAACCTTGCAGCATTCTGGTCTCAGATTTTTCGATCCATAGTGTTAGATAAGCTCCCCGTTGGGAGAGCGAGTGCATTCAGAGAAGTGTTGTGAGAGTTGTGTTGGAGAACACACAAACCAGCTTACAGAGACACTGCAGTTTAAATAGGCTTTTACTTTCGTNATGACTTTGAAATCAGCATTACTGAATTCAGCGGAATGTACTTTTGATTATGCAAGCTATATGATTTTATGGTTAAGCACTATTTCTATATTAACATCCTTTTCTCACTTAATTTTTAAAATCCAAGCTTTTATCTGACTTTAATTTCTGCTCTTAGATAGAAAATTATTTGCTTCGAAATCATGAAACCCGAAAATATCTACAAGAGCAAGCATACAGACTACAGCAGAGCATAGTTACTAGCACAACACAACAGGTACCAGTTGTTTTCTCTTTTATGATTAATAAAATTTTCAGTGGTTGGATTCAGAGGTGCCCTTCCATTCACAGGAGAGGTTTGCATTTTGAAAAGGCATCCCATAAATAGCATAGGATAAAGGCAATTCTTATAGATTTCCCCAGGTAGCCTTCTCTGTTACTTCCCTGCACTGCCAAAAGACCCTCAACTCTATGGAAATGGGAGGAATCATGAGGGAATCATGTTATATATTTCAAAAAATAGGCCCTGTAATATTTCTCTGTAATGAATAACAAAAAGTAGTAGAAAGAACTCAGAACCTCATAAATACGTGAACATATATTATTTGGTTTTATATTTATTTGAATGTGCAATCTCCCAAGGCATCCAAGAGATTTATTCATTGTTATTTTATCAGTTAGCTTTATCTCCTTTTTCTATGTTTTTAAGTATTTCTTTCCTTTCCCATTTTATTCTTGTGTAGATGATAGACAGAATATGTGTCAAAGTACAAGATCATCTCAACTCTTTAAGAAATTGTGGAATTGACACAATACAAGAGGATCTGAAATCAGCTGAAAGACTTATGAAGGATGCTAAGAATTCTAAAACAGTAAGAGATCACAGATATTTATAATGCTAAGGTTCTAATGCCATTAGAATAAGTAATGCTATTAAAACTTCTACCTCTAAAATTTTCTGAATTTAAACGTACATTAAATCTGTGCTTGTTAAGTCATGGTAGATATTAATAGTAGCTCTGTTATGTGTATTTTTTACAGTTATTACCAAACCTGTATCATCTTGGTGGAGCTTCATGGGCAGCAGCAAATGGTTCATTATCCAATCCAATTCAGGAGATCCTAGAATCTATGGCTGGGGAAGTTACAAAGGTTGTTGATGATCAGCTCAAGGTATTAATGACTAAAAAATGTTATCCTAAAATGAAATGTGGGGAGCATTCTAAAGAGGACGGGAACCAACTTAGTTTTCCTTTATCTGTCATGGATAACCTGTAGGTTAAATACAGAACATCATAGCCAACCCTGCTGCTCCAAGGTTATGCCACAGAAGCACAATTTATTTACATTTTAATAATAAAAAAAATGAAAGAGAACAAAACGTCTTAAGATTCTGGTAGTTTAATGCAGTGTTTTTCAACCTTGGCGACTTTAAGTCCTGTGGACTTCAACTCCCAGAATCCCCCAGCCAGCTCTCGCTGGCTGGGGG